CATGTTTAGAAGTCAACAGCCATGCGGCGAGCCTAAAAAAAGATGGGTACTCTTCTGGCGATGAGAAGATCTGGCCCTCAGGAGGAGAAGTGTCAAGCCTCGGAGACAAAGCCTTTCGGTGAGTTTATGGTTTGAGTTTAATCGTCCCGCGATGTTGCATGAAAAAGGCAACAAATATGTCCTCCGCAGGATGCCAAAGTGTCTCGTCAGTGAGATTTGATATGTTTTTTAAGACAATATCTGCCGCCACACGAGAGATAAAGCCACAGTGGTTCATTCAGTTGTTTCCAGATATTGCTTACTTGGCTGATAGGAGTTTACATTGAGTCAGAGCCTGAGCCTTTTATCTGTATTTTGACTAAGTTAATGAAAATCTTATTTAGGCCTCATTGTTTGTGACAGGAAGAGAGAGGAATTCCCTTCATAAAACATTAAGCTGATTTTAGGAAGATTAAACTCTGTCTGTGGTCTGCACATCTACAGTGTGTGTGTGTGTGTGTGTGTGTGTGTGTGTGTGTGTGTGTGTGTGTGTGTGTGCGTGCTAGAGGGGAGTATGTCTGCTCTATTGTTTACTGTTGGCGCTAACACAGATTGTTTGGGTGAAAGAGGTATATTCCTTCTCAAATGGCCAAAGAAAGGGATTTAAAACTAATCCAGATTTAAAGTGAACATTTGGATTATTTCAAATGCGGTTGTATGAGGTACTTATTCATGTTGTCTACAGTTGGAGTCCCAGGATGGAAGTCAAGCAATGTACCTATGTGAACACTGGCAGCAACACATTTATAAAAATTAAAAAATGCTCATGTAAAAAAAAAAAAATGATTATCTTTTTTGGGAGGTGCTGCCAGGTCAAGATCAAGATGGCAATTTGTGTGCTTCCAGACTGTAAAATCACAACTCTAATTATTACACAGTGAGTACTTTCAAATATTATGTTGAGCAAAAACGTGTCAACGAAAGATGATGTCAACAAACATCACCCAAATTCAACCCAGGAGATGCTAGTGGAAGAAGACAGACTAGGAGATGCTAGTCACTAAGTTTACCAGGTAACATCAAGGACTTCAGACTTGATAATAAACAACAACAACTAACAGAAATATTTGGAACATTTCCACCTCTTCACCGTGACAGCCGAGACATGAAACCAAAGCCTTTATCTAACGCTCTCTTTTAAACCACTGGAATCCTTTAACAAGAGGAGTAATGTTTGCGTTTTTAGCATTGGAATATACAATGAGCTTCCGACAGGGAAAATACAAGGCCCTCTATATCCAAATAAAATCCAAACTATCAACATGTTTTAGCAAGACAATACAACACAACTTTTCAAAAGCTTCAATGTTGTTTCACCATTACATCTTACAGCTCAATAACACATCAAACATGTTACCAATTTGGAAATTGAGACCTGGTGAGAATGTAAATACATCCATTGGAGACTACACTCTCCTATTGCCATTCTAGTTTGGTTGAGGGAGCAACTTCCATGTGCTGCAACATCAAATTAGAGTTTTTCTTTAAAAAGGAGTCTTTAAAGCGTGCCAGCTGCCAAGGATTAACTAAATAACCTCATACAACCCTACTTCTAAATGTACTCTTAAAAGAGGACACTCTCCGCACATACATCAATGTTTACCAGCCTGACCATACTGTGATACTTAAGGCCGCTACACACCAACCTGAGACCAAAGAACACGTACTGAAGGCGTCCCGACTTTTACGTCCGCTACGTCGCCTGCGTCCACTACGCCGCCCGCCTACGAACACACCGCAAAGACTTCAGTTGACGAGTGGCAATAACTATCCTTACCAGCAGGCAGCGGTAGTGTGTATTCGTCATTCAAAAGAAGCAACACCCAGAAGACTATACAGTGTACACTATACACCGAGAGAATAAGAACAGGCTGCGTGATATAAACAAACAACAAATAGCGTCTGGGTTCCATTTTCACTAGGCTTGTTTGAGACGTGTTGCGGCTCGCCTCGAAAGTAGACGAGAATAGCCGATCGCAGCCGGGGGAGGTCTCAAAAAGCTCGCCTGAAGTCGGACAGCTCGGAGTCGGCTTCGTCTTCTTCTTCTCTCGGTTTTTTGGCGGATTGCAAACAACTTTAAGGTGCATACCGCCACCTCCGGAGTCGGCTTGACTCGGTTTGCATTTATAAAGAATGCACACATGTGTTTAATCGTTAATGTCAGATATGTACAAATAAGTAAATACATTTGTTCCTGCTCCAGATTAGATTCAACTTTATTGTTATTGCACATATTACAGGTACTGAGACAACGAAATGCACTTTAGCTTCTAACCAGGTGCAACAAGCAGTAAAGTGAAAAGTAATGTACACAATCAACAGAATAAAATATAGAATGAATTGAATGATGAATAAACAGTGAGGGGTATGAATACACTAGATATCAGCCTGTGAGCAGTATGAACAGTGTGTATGAATATGCTAAGATATATAAAGTATGAAAACGGTAAGCAATGCAAGTATAGTATAAAATATATAGATATGAATTTCATGATGATAAACATTGTGGAACAATGATGAAAAATGGGAATGGATGTGGCGACGTAAAACTGACACAAAACAACAACAAACTTTTGCCGAGCCAATTGGAGAGTTTCATCAGCAGCACGGGGTAAAACCCACCAATGAGCACTCAGCTCGAGATACCAGCGAGTCGTTTCCCATCAAGCATTTGGCTTCCGCAGCCCGTGGAGAGGAACTGCGCCGCCTCGCTCTCAAGGCTGCGGGCGTCTTTGTCCCGAGAGATTTCAACGTCTCATGTAGGCGAGCCTCCAGAGCAAGTCGGACAAAATGACTAACCATCATGCAACGCACTAGCAAGACGTTGATCGCAACTGCGCAGGTCTCGCTTGTCTCAAACAAGCCTACTCTCTCTCGTCGATCGAAAACATGTAAACATAAAAAAGAAACTCTTGCGTCCAGGTGAGATGAAAATGAAAAAGATTAACCGTCTGTGTGTGCCTTCTTAATCATTTGTTTTGGTCCCTCACTTCCGCTTAGCTTCTCGTGCACTGACTCGCTAAGCTGAACAGCCAATAAGAGTGATTTATTTGTCCCGACTTTCTTTGGCCGGCGGAGGTGTGAAAATGTGCCGTAAAGCAACGATGGTGCGGGACACACCAACCTGAGTAGGGCGCCGCGAATGCCCGACTGCCTCTGACTCCCAAAATCGGGTAAGTGTGTCAGGGCCTTAAGACCAACAAACCATTGGCTCAGCCTCAGACAAATGTTATAGATATAATGTTTATCCGAATATGAACATATGATTTATTCATGCTAAGGCACAAATACAAAGAGAACAATCTAAATCAGACCCCACCGTTAGAGTAGGGCTGCTCAATTAATCGTATTTTAATCGCGATTACGATTATCGCTTGCAACGATTACGAAAACAACGTAATCGTAATAAAACGATTTTTTTTTAATTTTTTTTATTTTTTTTTGGTTTTTCAGTTTAATTATACTTAAAGTTCAGGGTAATCAACTGTTAAAAACATACTGTTCACATGGTTCGCTAAAGAGGATATTGGTAGTATTTTTATCCTGGCAGCCATTTATCTGCTGCATCTGTTTTTCCCAACAGTCGGATAACGTCAGAGAGAGAAAGTGTTTGACGCCACGGGCATGTTGTAAGCACACTTATACACACAGCAGTGTTGCTGTAAGACCATTAACCTCGCTGCTTGCCTTCTCACTTTGTAACAATAGTCAGCATCCAGCGCTGCGTCAGTGAGTCTTTTCTCACACCAAACCAGAGACATAGGAAAGTCTAATGCTCATTTGGTGAACTTGGCGAAACAAAACAAGTTTATACTTCCTTTCCCCCGGTTGGCAGGCCTCACCTTGAATGCACTTCTCTCCTGCTTTCCCAGCTCTGAGGTACCTTTTATTAACATTAATCACCCCTCCCTTTATCTAAATTGGGGGGCTGTTAATCTAAGTGTATTTTAATGGAACACTTCAGAAGCAACTCCCTCAATTACATCAACTCTTTCCAGGGTGATCCCGATTAAAAACAACCTTTAATTTAGGGCGGGGGGAACCCACAGACAAAGAGGGAACCAGAGAGGATTATGGGAAGCTTAGTTAATCAGTTTCACCTGCCAGAGTGAAAGCACGTCCCACAGACTGCCGTTTATAAGTATAATTATATTGGACACATGGCTCTGTTTATAAAACATTAAGCCACAATTTTACATTACGGGTACTTATCCGTAGTTTTTTGGGGAGGAAACGGCGGGCTCTCCCTGGTTGTGCGTTACTAAATGGCCTCGATGATGTCACAGGTTAAGCTCACTCAGCTTCCCAGTCACATTGAATTAATTTCCCCCTGTAACTGTAATTCACACAAACAACCGCTTACAATCAAAGACAGCGCTTTGGAAGCTGGGAGCAGAACATCTGCCTACCTCGGAGAATAAAAACAAGAGTCGGACGCAGACAACATTTCAATGGGCTGATCCCATGGACACTAGTCTGGGTAGGCCGCTGAAGGACAGGTTTGTATGGAGTTTTGTTAGAAAAACGTGTGAAGAAAATGCGGCTATGTTTACTAGGTTTCATTTAGAGTCATTGGGTTTTACGAAGAAGGGCTTCACATACACACACATCTCTGTAATTTCAGAGGCTAATCACAGGCAACACATCGTTAAAACAGCTCTTTTGATTTTCAGTAAAAGTCTCAGGGCAGAGCTGAAGTGCTGTTCTGGGTCAGACTTTTATGTCGTTGGGTCCTTTTAATACATCGCCTTTGAAGTGAACGATCAATTTACTAGAAGAAATGCATGTTTGAGGGCACTTCTGAAATACAACCGACTCCACATTTTTTTCCTTCCTTGTGTACTGCAGTATCAAAGCAAAAGGTCTGCTTATAAGACCCTCAATCCATTTCCAAATTCTAAAAGGAAACATCGTTTGCCTTGCTTTAAAAGCTAAGATTTGCATTTGATCTCGGTCTGTACCTGGGTCCCAGCTCATCCTCACACCTCCAGGTGAATTCCCCAAAGCTCTCGTAGCGCTGGTTGTAGTGGTAGAGCACGCGGTGGAGTGTGGGGGCCCCCAGATCCATTAGAGTGTTGTAGGCCGTCTGTTGCTCCTTCCCACTGGTGTAACCATTGAATAGGTTGTAGATCTTATCTGAGATTTCTGGAAGGGCAAACACAGTCATAGGTCAACAACTTAAAGGGGCCCTATTATGTTTTTTGGGGTTTGCTCTTTCCTGTAGTGTGTTATTTAGGTTTTGTTGCATGTAAATGGTCAACAAAGTTCCCTCCAGAGGGAGTTTCTCTCCTGCACGCCGCCCCCCCCGCCTCCATTGGACTACTTTGTTTACTTCTGTAACATATTGACATCACTATGTTACACTCGTGCTTCTACTGGCTTGCACTACTATTGGCAACATCTCTGAGTGGTTGATTTATAAAAAGCTAACCAATAAGAGAAGACTGGGCTCTGGTTTCAGACAGAGGGTGAAAACAGGTGCTGCAGCACGCTTCCAATGGGTGAATGGGTGAATTTGTTCCCCAGGTAAGGAACCTATCCACCTGTCATGGTTTACAATGCATATCAAATCTGTCCTAAGTAGAACCTATTGTATTTCACACCATTATTTTATTTCCAGGCATTAAGTTTAAGCCAGTAGTTTTAAAATGACCTGGTTGGAACATCTTTAGCATTGACCGATTTAAATTAGCAGCAGGATCCAGTGACTATAAATCTCAGGCTGGTACGGATAGTGGCAACAATATTTCAGCATTTCTTTAAAGTCAATATCCTTATGGAATTGTAGTTTACCGTGTCCATAAACAGTGCAACTGCAGAGAGGAAAACTATCTCTCTGTGACTTCTACTCGCTTTATGATCTGATCTTAACATCTGTTTTGTGAGGCCTTGAAATAAAACAGCAAAATGTCTGTCCTTCAAGTTAGCTACTCGATTACTAAGAAAATATGGAGCATCTCCTTTATTAAATGACTGACTAAGCCTGTACATAAATGAAGCTGTTTCAGACGTTGTTTTTCACAATCACCTCGAGCATATTTAAAGTGTTGGAACATTACATCTCTGTGAGCCACCTGTGATCACTAATAAAGATGACTCACCCCTCTTGACTCCTGCCCGTGTCTTTCCTCACCTTGTGCTTTGACGTCATCCACAGTTGGACATGGAGTTTTGATGGTGACCTCACTGGGGCTGGAGCGGCGGCCTGTGTTGTCTACTGCCCACAGCCGGAACCTAGACACATAAACACACGTGAAGCGGATTATAAAACCTGCTGCTAATTGTGAGTGATACATCGTTTGCTACAAAACCTAATCTAAATCTGCTGTAGCAACATCACATCATCATTTCCCAGTGAAATCAAATAAAAAGGCTCCGTTTGTTTATAATGAGACTTTCACTAGTGCCAGACTGACAATAAGCACTTCTTTACAGAGCTAATAACCTGTCACTTCACTGAATGACTATCTCCACCTAGTGAGCTTCCTACAGACTGCATCCACCTGCAGCACCACAGGCTTAAAAGAGTGGCAGAGAAGACCATAGAATTAATACAAATTGGATATTTTTACTATCAGCCTGGAGATGTGTTTCTCTTATATTGCAGGTAAAGATAAAACAGTTGACTACACACATGCATAGTTCACTGAAAAAGAGAGAGACTTGGTTCGTTTCCAGCCTCAGACTCTAAACGTTTAAACATTTCCAACATGTCTTAGCGTTTTGGACTTAACTTTTTATGCAGCTGCGGAGTATGTTTTCTGTGTCATGCTTACATAATGTGAATACTTCTCCCTACACAATGCATTTCCCCCCCCCCCCCACACAAGGCACTGATCCAAGGCTTTGTAAGTGCTCTGTCTGTACAGAAAACATGAGGAGTGGGTTGCAGCCTGAAGGGAGAGACGTCGCTGTGGCTTGAAAATGAGTGAGCTGCCAGACAGGATGGAGAGAGTCCCGCTGATGTCAGGATTAAAAGGGCATGTGTAGTGTAGCTGCTTTTCCAGCCCACATACATCCAAACTCTTGATCTTTTGTTCTCATTCTTTTCTCTTTCAACCCAAACTTTCCCTCTGCTTCTCCATTTCTTTCTCTTCACCCTAATCTGCCTTTTGCCTCTCATAGATGTCCGTGTGGCTTCCCTCCTGGCATGTCTGTGAGATACATGTCAGCATGTGCACGAGAGCATCTGGTGTGTGTATCTGTGTGTGCAACACATTGTTAAACTGCATACACACATAAAGACAGAATAAAGACCTATATGATTGTAGATAACATAGAGTAAACATTTATTTATTAAACAGTTGTTATTGTATTTATCTAGCATATTTGTGGGGACTGTGACATTAATTAATATATCAATAATGTTTTTAACACCAACCTTAAACAAAAATTACAGGAATTATCACAATTCAGATTCAACTAGCTTATATTAAACCAAAACCGTACCTTAGCCATCCTTAAGGGTTTGATGCCAGTCAGTCACGATAATGGTATGCTAAGGTCAAAGTGAAATGTTAGAGCTAGGATGGAGGCTAATAGCTACATATCTCTTATTGAAAGCTTGTTGGCCCTTAGCGACTTGTCATTCACAAGGCTGCCACGCCGTAAAGCATTCACTGCTTTATCATATATTTGGAGTCCCAATTGGATAATAGCGAAGTATGTCATCTTTTCATAGGCTTCTATGGAGTTGCCCCTTCCTGAACATCTTAAAAAACGAAGGTTTAGGGATTTAATTCACTCTTCAGTTGTTTTGATTCACGTTGCAAGGGCTGGTAGGTTGCTATTTGTCAGTATATAGCTCAAATGTTCATAAACCACAACATGTATGTTGCTATTTCTACATGATTTTATAACACAAACTGTTGTAAAGTAACTTTGATGGAGCTTCTGTACTTCCCACTGCTTACTTTGTACCAACCTTGGCTAGACTAAACACCTCAAAGCATCATAAATGTTGCTAACTACAGCTACTATCTGTTAGTACAAGTTGTTTGTGGCAAATAAAGCATTTTGCATTCCTATTATAATTACTACTAATCTCATAGTATACTATCTTTGCAGCAAGTATACCAAATCAGCATGGTTAACCGTTTCATTATGACAGGAAATGATACAATTTGTGCAACGTAAGACGTCAATCAAACTATGACTTTGAATGACGCTAATAATTAAACAACACTGAGAGAAAAGCTAATATTTTTCCAAAGATGATTTCTTGTTTGTTCTTTCTGGAGCTGTCTCACCACATTTGCAATTACTCTAATCTTTTCCAGCTGTGAATGGCTTCTCCATGTCCAATGGGCAATGTATTGTGGGACAATTGTTTTCAGCTGCAGCATACTCAAAAATGAAAGTTTTTCAGTCAGAATAGTGGATTTTGTGAGGACACCTAATTAAATCATATTTGAATTGTGAACAGAATCCATATTAAAGGTAACCTATTATGCAACATCCACTTTTACATGTCTTGTATATATTAACATGTTTACTCTGTGTAAAGAGATTATGAAAGTTTCAAGAAAAAAGACCCCCTCACTTTTTGTCCTGATCCATTTATATAAAAACCTGTCTGAAAATGAGCTGATCAGATTTTGGTCACTTTATGATGTCATAACGATGTTTTGGCTTGTGTAACCATTAGCCAATCACCAACCAAGGTAACAACCCCCACCTTATCACCTGAATCTCCTCCTAGAGCACCATTGCAGGTCTCCCTTGTAAAAGAGTTCAATGATCTCAATGGGATTTATCTGGATAAATAAAGGTTTGAAATGAAATGAATGAATTGTGTTCTTTTTAACCAAATATCTCTCATGCCCCTTTCACACCAACGTGGTTCCAGGGCCAGTTCGGAGCTAGAGCCTGCTCTAAGCACCGAAAACCGGTGCTTGCCAAGCACCAATTTTTTTTCGGTCTAGAAGCAAGAACCGCATACGTCACGCTTAAGTCGGAGGGGGGCGAGATTAACCTGAGCTACAGTTTAAGGCGAGTACGGCAAATAAAAGTTGTAACAAGCAGTAGCGCTGAGCAAAGTGACTAGAACGCAACCACAGAGTTATGAAAAAAACACACTTTAAAGTCAGGCAACGCTAACCAGTAACCAGGCTTAGTGTGATTCTGTTTATTTGTACCTTACTTTGACCATCCGTTCGCTGTTATTGATCATTGTGGAGAGCAGGCAGACGTTTTGTTTTGTATTATAGCAGCTATCGGATAGGAATCAATACATGGGCTGCACAGGTTGTCATGTCCGACTATCACAAGTAGAATCATAATGAAAAATACGCCTGTATAAAACGGTTTATGCCACAATAGGATAGCAACAACAAGTAGTCAAGATAGTCAGTTTAGCTTTGGTTGCTATGCTAACATCACCCATTTTATACCAGAGAAACTTTCATAACAGCGTTGTGATGCCAAACAGCGTCAATTCAGACTGACACACATTCACTTATGGGGAATTGGGGATATGTATCAGCTGCTTGTGTGACAGTCAGACAGTGAATACTTTACAGCGGCCGCTGCCTTGTGAGCTAACCCGGAGCTAACGGGAGAATAAACTCCGGTGGAAGAACAACACTGCAGCGGTCGGTAAATGCAGCTGAAAGTTTGAAACACATTAATAAACAATGAACCACGGCATTCTGGAGAAAAGTACAAGGTTGGAGAAGTCGTTATTTAATTTAATCTGGCTTCGTATGATTAAAAGCAACACGATCATCGACCTGACGCAGTCCCCCATTGTTGTTGTTGTGAGCACCGTTGGGGAGAAAATCAGCGACGTAAACAGTGACGTCATGACGCAGCAGCGGCAGCACCAGTCGGGCTCTGGGCGGTGTGAACAAAACGGGGGCTGAAAAGAAAAACCGGTTCCGAACCAGAAAAGCTCTAGCACGGAGCTAGAACAGGAACAGCGTTGGTGTGAAAGGGGCATAAGAGGGGCGTGGGGAGTGGCACCTTATTTTCACCTAAAGTAACAGATACAGGTTCAGCACTTTTTTGTATATATCTGAGAACTATAATATATTGATGAAAAACATTATAATAGGGGACCTTTAAAAACTTGCATAGTATTGGTAAATTGTTTAGAAATCAAACATCTTTTTTTTAAATGGTAAAATGTGCTTTATCTTAACATCTGACAGTGAGAGTGAGATCTGGTTCGCAAATCAGTTTAGTTTCCCGGTTGTTTAGTCTGTTTTTTTTAAGGAGGACAAATAGAAAGTGACTTACATGTAGGTGGTGTCCGGCTCTAGGCAGCGGATGATCATGCTGATGGAGGAGGACAGGAGGTCGGGGATGTCCCCTAACATCACACAAGGAGACCTGGCCCCAGACAAGATGTCATCGACGAAGCTCAAAAGGGTTTCTGCGGAAGGGAGAAAGACACATTTCACTCCCATTTGATTCATGGACTGTACAGTTTGAGATGAGACTACTGGAAATGTAATGATTTCTGTATATATGTTTCTACTGTATAGGTTTTGTCCCAATAACAATGTTTGATTTCTTCTTTAAATAAGGAAGAACTTGTGTTTAAAAAAAATGCATTCATTAAAAACTCCTGGGTTGACTTGACAACAGTACACTTATCAGTTTTACAGGTTCTTATAAAATCAGAAGGTTGAGCAAATGTAAACGTGGTGCATGATTTAGTGAATTTAAACAATTTTTTTGGAACTTTGAGGTAAGATGAGGGCAGCTCTGCTGAGGCTTAATAAAGAATATACGGTACAGGGATAACTCACTGCTGAACTGTAAACAGACATCTTAACAAAATGTGGAACAGATGCTTAGCTCCACCACAACACACACTTTAAGGACAGTACCTGTAGGGCCTGTCTATGAAAGTGAAACAATTAGGTGCTGTTTAACAGAGCTCTGGTGCTGATTTTTATTTCTTTTTTAAGGGCAGGGGATCTGTCAACAATTAGTGAACATTACACCGATGTCAACATATGTGACAACAACGGGAAATAAACTCCCTCTGGAGGGAACTTTTGGATTTTAGCCTTTGCTGACCATTTACATGTACAAAAACCGGTACCACTTTACAATAAGACTACCCTTATAAAGGGTTTACGAATAATTTGTAAATAATTTATTAATTATGTTGTGAACACTTTATAACTCATTAATAAGCTTTTATAAGACATGAGATAAACAGGGCAACTGTGACCGGTTACTTGCCAAATAGTGAGCCCACATTTATCTGTACTGCTAAATCTTATATTGGCTACCTAGCTTACTTTATCTTCTTCATCAGCCAGCATCCTTGGTATCTGTTGCTCACTGAGTTGATTCTCACTAAGTAGCCACTATAAGGCTTAGTCATCTTGCCAAATAGTGAGCCTGTGTTGATGTATGAAAACTATGTTAGAACTGGTTTATAAATGGTTCTTAATGATTAATAAAGTGTTTACAACCTAATTCATAACCTAATTATAAACCCTTTATGAATCCTTTATAAGGGTAGTCTTATTGTAAAGTGGTACCCAAAAACCTATGTATATATAAACTACAGGAAAGGGGAAACACCAAATAACTACAATAGGGCCCCTTTAATAGATGCATTCAAGGCAGATATGTGGTGAAGATACATAGTGAATTCCTTTCTCTGTGCATGGTTAAATGATCACACACCTAACTAAAAGAAGATTATTATTCAGATGTACAAATCCCAGTCAATCTTGTAGATACAGGCTGCAGCCAGTCATTTAAAAATATTTCAACAATTTATGGCATTTACGGCGCAAACGTGGTTTTTTTCCACTGATGTTTGCCTTAAAAGCATTCCTTGCTGGCAATAGGTGAACTACCCTGGGGAGTCCCAGCATCATAACAATAACTAAAATAATTCCATCCCTTCATATTGATCAATACATACAAGCTTGTGTTTCTCGCTAATAGTGCAGATTCCTAAAGAAATTGTAAAAAAAACCCTCCTTAGCACATTATTTAACTTTGTCAATAACAACACCAACAGCCGCAAGCAAACTACAGACATCCCCAGATGTAGAGGAACAGTCTGACATGTTTGGCAGCCAGGGCATCACAGTGATGGTCGACACAATCCAGACCACCGCTCACTCAACAGGTGCAATGATTTCATGCTTTGTTAATAAACAATGTTGCCTGTCCCATGTGTTTTGTGTGTCCTCTTTTTGTTAGGGCACCCACTCTTTGCAACAACCTTCACACGGAGGTCAGCCTGGCAAGCTTTTTATATTGTTTAACTCCCTCAAAAACGATTTAATTTTATAATAGTGTTTTCACAGAGCCTATGGCCTAAAGCTTTCCCTTTTGTATATGTTATATTATTATTATTTGTTCTCATTGAACTAGTTCTGATATGTAGAATCATTGACTTAAAAAACAATTTGATTAATAATTAAAGATTGATTAATAATATATGTATTACATGTATCACAAATATAATCAAATACAAAATAGTCATAATGATATATCTGTAAAATAAAATAAATATTAGCTGTTAAATCTTAACTGTGACATTTTGAATGCATTATTTTTCTGGGTAATGGAGTATTTTCAATCTTGTGTTACTATACTTAACATAAGATAATACTTTATTTATCCCGAAGGAAATTGTTGTGCCAGTTACAAAAATACAATAAACACAGCAGCATAATAGTAAAACTGTACACTAAAAGTGCAGTAAAAAGAATAATTACATATCTACAGGAAACATGACACATAGACGGTCACATGAATGTAAATATTACCAGTATTTAGTAGTGCAAAAAAAACAAAACGTAATTGCACGTTATCATAGCACATTATTAATAATAATAATATTGTAATATATATGTGGATGGGTACAGTACATACCTACCAATAAACCCTTGAATCTGGGAAAACACCTGTATCCACCTGAGACTCTCACATGGGAAAGAAGCAACCCCTTTGACCCCCCCTCCCCCTCCTCCTCTTCAGGGCCATTTTCCTGCTGCCCAGGCTGCTGGTGAAACATGCAGCGAGCGATGTTTTCCCAGCTGGCAGTGAGTACGTCAAAAGGGCATTTGGCCACCGAGGTGTGTTTCACCGTAAGGGGAAAAACCCTCTGCTTGGAAAAGCCAAGTCTCTGTGTGTGTGTGTGTGTGTGTGTGTGTGTGTGTGTGTGTGTGTGTGTGTGTGTGTGTGTGTGTGTGTGTGTGTGTGTGTGTGTGTGTGTGTGTGTGTGTGTGTGTGTGTGTGTGTGTGTGTGTGTAAGTGATGGCTGCTCTGAGGTGGTCATCTGTGACCCTCCGCTACACAAGCAGTGCCTGTCTGTGTGTGTTTATACTCCATGTGTGTGAAGTGATGGGCGCACTCGAGGTGGTCACCTGTCCCTTTCCTCTACAAGAGCTTTCCCTCACCATAAGCCTGCGCATGTGTGTAAATACGTGTATGTGTGAGTGATGGATGCTCCGCGGTGGTCACCTATGTCTTCCCTGTGGACCCCGGCCCGTGTCACCAGCTAGTAAACAGCAGGCCAAATGCCACGGAGTCATGAAGACAGAGAGAGACGTAGAGCTTGAGGGTATAAAGAAAAGGTGCGCAGCAGCTGTCAGAGCGAGGTGTTTACCCAGCGTGAGAGACTGACACACGAGTGAAAGATATAAACAGAGCCGGAGATGTAAATGAAAAGTGACATTGTGAGGCTTTGCACCACTTAGCATATTAATTGCAAAAAACGGTCGGAATGTCTGTCTAGCGTGTAAAGAGGCGTAGAAAAAGGAAACAGTGTTTAAACCCTCGCTGGAGAAGGCTGTGTGGAAATATGCTGAATAATTCTCTCAGTATCTAATGGGTTGAGCTCTAAAAGGCAAATTGCGACTAACATGAATCTTTGCATATATCTCTGTCTTAACAAGATAAGCTATTCAGTTTGGATATGCAAATATAACAAACTGTATTTTGCACACAACTTTCCCATACTGGAGGCCTACTGTACTTGAGCATACTTAAAGGGGACCTATCATCGGCAAAAACACGTGGGTTTGCTGTCCTGGCTCCAAGATGGTGGAATGAGCTCCCCATTGACATCAGGACGGCAGATAGCTTGCACATCTTCCGGCGCAAACTGAAAACTCATCTCTTTCGACTCCACTTCGAGCGTTAGAACTATTAACGAAGCACTTTTATACTAATAAAGGACTGGCTTACCTAAAGCCAGTTGAGTAGCACTTGAAATGTTTGGCTCTATGAAACCTGATGTACTTATATGATTCTGTTTTCTTCAAGGTTGTGTCTTCCTGGTCGAATGTACTTATTGTAAGTCGCTTTGGACAAAAGCGTCAGCTAAATGCAATGTAATGTAATGTAATCATGCAAAATGCACTTTTGTACGTCTTTTATACATGAATATGTGTAAACACAACCCTCTCTCTTTTCCTCCATACCCAAATCTCTAAAAACAGGGCTGCAACGGATCTGATACAGACTGATACAGATTTGAAATAGTTCTGGTCAGAAACAGGGAGCTCTGCCTATATGGGCAACTCTCCACCTATCAGGGGAATGAGAGGTTGCCGTGGCATGGTAACAGCATGGTAACATGACGCTCGTGCCTCACCCCCCTCCTTTGCAGGGGGGCGTGGTCAGCTGCAGGTCATTTGCCACAGAATCAGCCCTTGCTAAAACAGGGCTGGAATAGAGCAAATAGAGCAAAATGAGGCATGGCTAAAATGCATGATCTGTTTGGTATTTTGAAAAAAAAACTTCACAGATATGTTTTATATAGGTATGACCCTACAATATATTATTCAAATATAGCATGATAGGTCCACTTTAAAGCTCTTATAAAAACATTATTGTTTTTTTTCAATCTATTATTTGAACAATCTCAATGATTTTTGTGGTCAGAAATAGAGGGGAAAACAACATGGAGCTGTTTATAATTAGTATTAATTTCTGAGAGCAAAAAAGGACGGTAAAGAGGCCATATTATGCTTTCCTGTCTTATATAGCTTTCAATGAATATCAATTGTCTGCAAAGGCTAAAATCCCAAAAGTTCACCGCATAGGGAATTTATCTCCGTCATATCCAACCCCCCCCCCCCCCCCCCCGCCACAATTGGACTGCTTTGTTTATCACAATGTAACACTCAAGGTCTGGTTTCGGACAGAGGGTGAAAAGAGGTTCTGCAGCAGCGGCAAGATGAGAAACATGTTAAAGCTAAAGTAGAGGCACAAAATACAATACAAATATGAACAGAACATTAGCATAATACAGTAAGTAATCTTTCAACAATTTTCCTATGTTTGCTTTTTCTGTCATGTCTGGCTGCCTTTTCTTTAAAGTCACCTTGTGACCAATGCACCATAACATTTCGTTTTTTCTGAAAACGGCTTTAATGAGTGAAATGC